TTAATATACCAAGACAAGACAGAATTTGTTCCCATTGTAATCTAAAAGAAATCGGAGATGAATTTCATTACATACTAATGTGCACTTCACTACCAAAAGAAAGAATGCTATGCTTAACAGAAAAACACATAAGATTTAAGAATATAATTAGTTTTAAAAACATCATGAATAGCAATAAACACTGTTTTCTGAGAAAAATGTGTTCGTTTATAAAGAAAATAAATAAAATATGCTCCCCGGCCTAGAATTCCCATGCTTCACATTTATAGCAAAGTACTAGTTTTTGTTCTTTTTTATTCACGCATGCTATTGCTATGTATTAAATTATCTATTTGGTGTAAGTCTCTATATGCTACTGTAAAATGGTGAAGAGATTCAAATAAATGAATACTGAATACTGTAAAATTGAAATTAGGACTCACTTATATTATGGCCATTTATCGTATTTATAAATTATTTGGATACACAACGCCATTTAATGCAGGTACAGTATTCGTACGTGTAAGAGCAGAATCCTGGGGAGTGATTTTAACAGCATGATTTATTTTTATTTTTATTTTTAGGTAAAATATCAGCGACGCAGATGACATTGTGAAAAGTTTTGTGTTTCGACGCTTTTCGACGGGTTTATATATGTGCCTGGATATTATGCTTCATTTAGTTTTAAGTATTTTTTTTATCGATTGGAAACAAGTTCTTACAACTTCCTGAAATATAACAGTGTGTCCTGCAAAATAAATAGCTAGAGTATGCAATGTATAAAATTAATTACACGTATAATGCACTAGGGAAATGCGAAAACTTGTCAGCATAACGCACTAGCACGAAAAAGAAAAGAAAGAATGAATATGATTTAAAAATAACAACAATAATAACGGAAATTAAGAGTTTAAGAAAAAGTAATTTCCATATTGTTTATCAGTCGTCTATACCGCATGTCTAAATAGGCAGGTATGACACAGTACACAGTCTTTGTGAATTTCTCGCAGTTGGAGGGCAAACTAAGAATTTTTATAAGACGGGGAGATCCAAATGGCAATCTTTAATGTGTCTAATAAAAAAAATAAAAGAAATCATCCCCGATTTTTGTCCTTTGAAGCAAAATTTTTAGCTTTAATCGTACCCCGAAATTCAAACATGACAGTTTGGAGGCGTATTTTCCTGAATTTAAACACTACAGTTAGAACGATCTTAAAATGTAAATAGATAGAATGATAGAGAGAAATGTAAAGGTTGGGATTCTGCTCATGTTATGTGGTGAAGTTCATTCCTTGAGCTGCAGCGCGGATGCTAATACCCACGTTGAAACACACATCCATGAACAAAACAACAAACGTCTCGACAAACTAGATGTTTTCTAGGCGGTCCGCGCTCAGTGTAAACAAAAACAGCAAGTGCGTGTGACCCGAGTATTTCACTGTTCACAGTTCCTGAGAAGTAAGTCGACGTTTTACTCTCGTCAGTAGCCATGGCCGATACTGCTCCTCCAGCAAAGTCCCCAGCCAAGAAGAAGGCCGCAAAGCCTAAGGTGCCCGCTGCACATCCCAAGTACATTGACATGATTAGCGCTGCTGTTGCATCTCTGAAAGAACGTGGTGGCTCATCTCGACAGGCCATTCTCAAGTACATCATGGCCAACTACAAAGTGGGCAACGATGTTAACTCTATCAACGCCCACCTGAAAATGGCCCTGAAGAGCGGAGTTAAGAAAGGTGCTCTGAAGCAAGCAAAGGGCACAGGCGCTAGTGGCTCCTTCAAACTTGGAGACAAACCCAAGACCGAAAAGAAGCCTAAAGCCAAAAAGGTAGCCAAACCCAAGGCAGCCAAGCCCAAGAAGGCCGCCACCAAGCCCAAGAAGCCTGCGGGAGAGAAGAAGGCCAAGACTCCAAAGAAGAAGGCAGCAGCCAAGAAACCAGCCGGACCCAAGAAAGCCAAGTCCCCCAAGAAAAAGGCAGCCCCCAAGTCTCCAAAGAAGGCAGCAGCCAAACCCAAGAAGGCCAAGACCCCCAAGAAGGCAGCGGCCAAGAAGACAAAGACTCCCAAGAAGGCAGCCGCCAAGAAATAAGCAGTCTTCGCATTCCAGGCAGACTGTCTACGCTTAAAAAAAAAATTTAAAAAGCCCTTTTCAGGGCTACCCACATTTTTAGAAAAGATGCCTTAAAAACATTCGTTAACGAAACATTTGCATAATCATTGCCTTTCTTTTCCCTCTCTTTCTCATTTTAATATTTGGAATGCAGAGGTCTGTGTTGAAAATTTAAACTAAACAAACATGTGAAATATTACAATTTCACTAACAATATATCTTACACAAATGCCTACACTGTCTAGGTGTAAACTAGGATAATGTGCTCATGGTAATATGTAATTGTAATTGCATGCATATCTCACATGAATTCCTGATTGAACAATAATCTAAATAATAGGGAGGAGCAGTAAGTGAAATGAATGATGATTAAAAAAGTGTGTGAATTAATTTTAGTTTATAATGTACATAATATCAGGTCAAGTCTGAACTATTATATATGATAGACCATTTTCACACACCTTCTCATACACATACACTCACTGACTGTTACGGTGTAATTCCATTCAATGTACAGAACAGAAGTCTTCTTTGATATTTTAGAATTGGTTTTATTTCCTAGCTTTCACGTCACACACAGAATGAATTAATGAAGCATACTCTGGTACGACTAAAATGAATTTCTGAGGCAGTGACTTTTTTCATGCAAGTGTCCGTGTAAACTGTAAATGGTCACAAGATTCTTGAAAGCAAAACCACATGCATACCAGGGCTTGTCAACAAACATCAAATATTTCTACAAAATCAATGTTTTTGAACAACTTCTTGAAGCTTTGTTTTGACAGGACTTCAAAATTTGATAAATATTCAAGTTCTTGAACTTTCTAAAGTCTAAAGTGATAAACACATACAGAAGTTAAGGTGGGGGTGGGGATAAAGAAAGCAAAGCAATGATGAGCTGGTTTATGAGTCAGGATGTCGAATCCAGCAAACACTTGATCATGTCTAAAGTAAAACATTATGGTCTGAAAAACATTTCATGAGGAAATTTTAAAGTAATATTCATTGATATAATAATAAAAAAAGTAATATAAATAAATGAATGAATAAATAAATAAATGAATATATTTAAAAAAAAATGCATAGGGAATGTTTATATGTCTATCTTCATGGTTATTATCATATTTACTGTGATCGTACATCTTTCAATACAGTGGGTCTATTAGATTATTTTATATAGACAATTTAACATTGATTTTAACCAAGTACAAAATCTGTGCAAAAAGGTGGATTGAAATGATTCCAGCTAAGACCAATGGAAGCACGCTATGCGCGACTAATCACAAGGTGTCTTTCTTAACCCCAAACCAATCGCAAACATCCTTACTTAATGCGCGCTGATTTCGATTCAAGAGCCACAAACCGTATAAAACTATAGTAAACGCTTGCTCTCGTCATTCATTTTATCTGAACTCAGAGAAGATGGCACGTACCAAGCAGACTGCAAGAAAATCTACTGGAGGCAAGGCCCCACGAAAACAGCTGGCTACCAAGGCAGCCCGTAAAAGCGCACCAGCCACCGGTGGCGTTAAGAAGCCCCACAGATACAGGCCAGGAACTGTCGCTCTCCGTGAGATCAGGAGGTACCAGAAAAGCACCGAGTTGTTGATCAGGAAACTCCCATTCCAGCGTCTTGTCCGTGAAATCGCTCAGGATTTCAAGACAGATCTGCGTTTCCAGAGCTCTGCCGTCATGGCCCTCCAGGAAGCCAGTGAAGCCTACCTTGTCGGACTCTTTGAGGATACCAACTTGTGTGCTATCCACGCTAAGAGAGTGACCATCATGCCAAAGGACATCCAGCTTGCCAGACGTATCCGTGGCGAGAGAGCTTAAACATTTTCCTGTCTCGGACAAACACACAAACGGCCGTTTTCACGGCCACCAAATTTTTAGAAAAGATGCCCTCTTTAACAGCACTAATTAGAAACGTGACAACAAAGAGCACAAGTATATTGACCACATAATTTATGTCAGGTGTTATTGGCGGCGAAATATTGTTTATTATATATATGAATGCAAGGAAACACACAGATATGATATTGTCTTGAATACTGGCATAATTGCACAATTATGGCAGCTTATACTCGTATTATATATAAAGAAAACAAACAAACGAAAACACGCATGAAACGAGTGTCACACAACAGTTTGAGAGAGAAACAATACACTGTAAAAATTACGTACATGTATCCCAAGCAATTCTACAGGCACGTTAACAGAAATAATAATGATAAAAAAGTGATTCATGCATGGTTCTAATAACATATTTTGCTTAAATTCAGAGAGCGTGATAAACAATATATGCCTAACACAATGGATACTGTTTTGAGAGTAATATTCTGACAGATAATAATAAATATGGTCAGTTGTTTGAAACATTTGCATATATATATTTATTACATTTCTATTCTGCGTAAAGAAATACTACTACTAATAATAATATTAATAATTGAAAAGAAATAATAAGAGAGATACAGAGAATAACATGTACTGAGTTGGTACCGTGGTATTTTATTTATTACGAGACGTATTATTTAAATGTGTCTTGCATTAAAGAATATTGTTTTAAATTATTATTTCCCTGAAGATATGACAGTATACAGAACCCCCGCAAAAATATGAAATCATATATACTGAACTACTGAAATTTAAGATTTGCCTATATAGACAAGTACATGATTTAGTAACAGCTCAAGGGTACACGAAAAAAATGTCAACAAAAGCAAATACGCAAGGCGCGCAGAGCGCGAACCAATCGCGCTTTAGCTTACACTGTGCCTTCGGAAGGTGAAAATTGCACTGCCGAAGTTTTCAAGATACCACTGCTTCTAGCACGTCGTTGATTAGCGCTATATATACCACGATCTCTACCTAGCTCCCACATTTCAGAAGATTATCTACTGAAAGCAGAATTATGTCTGGACGTGGTAAAGGAGGAAAAGGTCTTGGAAAGGGGGGCGCCAAGCGTCACAGGAAGGTCTTGAGAGATAACATCCAGGGCATTACCAAACCCGCCATCCGACGTCTTGCACGCAGAGGTGGAGTCAAACGTATCTCTGGGCTCATCTACGAGGAGACCCGTGGAGTCCTGAAAGTTTTCCTTGAGAACGTCATTCGTGATGCTGTCACCTACACAGAGCACGCCAAGAGGAAGACCGTCACAGCCATGGACGTTGTCTATGCCCTGAAGAGACAAGGACGTACCCTCTACGGATTCGGTGGTTAGATACCCCTACCATACTGTGCCTCCAAGAGCAAGAACAAACGGCCGTTTTCACGGCCACCCAAATTTTTCGAAAAGATACCTCTGAGCAGACGTGTTAAAGAAACGAAGGTGTTAATTTTTCTATATTCATTTCTAGTGAGCAAAAGAATTTTGATTTAATGTCACTGGAAGAAGGCATATTATTCGGATAGCCTTGCAGTAACTTGTACACAGGGTAGGGGAAAACAAATAATTACAATATCTTCATAATTATTGATTTACATTAGGTTCCCATGTAAAATTTCTGATCAGAAAAAAGGGGGGGGGGCTGCATGGGGAGAGAGAAAACAAAATACAAACAAACAAGAAAGTCCCATGCTCTAGTTGATATTTTCCAAGGACACATCTGGTAGATAAATTTCAATTTAATAACCTGCACGTTGTTACAGTTTTAGTATCCCTGTCAATACAGAGACAAAATACGCGTATACAACAACTCGTACGGTTAAATGTACTTTGACAAGGTAGCAAGAGTTGTCTTTCGTTTTATGTGTGCTGTATATTCCTATGCATTGAGCAAGTGGTTATTTGCAGTGCAGGTCTATCATCTTTACATTTACATGCCTCTATCAACAATAAAGCATGACTTCACGATGTTGTTCTTCATTCTATTACATTTGGATTCCAACAGAGACACCACATGTAATAGTAGTATGGCAACAAAGTACACCACACAGTCAAAAACATCATCTCAAGAAAAAAACTATGACCCATACTTGCGCGATATATTTCGTAATACCACTAAATATACATGTTTATTTTATACAGGGATGTCCCAGAACTAGCATTGTTTGATATGATGTATCTTGATCCTCATTCCTGTGCAAAACAAACAAACACACACAAAGCAAAATGTTTAAACAGAGATGACTTTGAAATATTCATATGCAGAAATGTGAAACACAACTTGAAGACGCTAGGTCTTAAGAATGTAGTTTATTTGATTACTTGTATATTTCCCGTAGGATCCTAAATGTTTGACATTCAAATGTAATTCCTTTTCAATATCCTTTGAAATACAGTTTTTTCATGAAGATAACCTGTAATGAGCTATAATATTTTTCCAGTAGATATTAAAGCAATATAAGCTGTCAGCGGCGGCAATTTTTTAACCCAATTTTATGAGGCTAATTAACAATAATGTGTTAGAAATAGATAATCTGCAAGTATCAGTAAACTACAGCTGTTGCGTATACACAAATACATTAATTAAATCGATCGTTTGTTTGAACTGACCGTCTCTCCAGCCACCGGTAATTAATATTCGGGACGGGATACGGAGATAACCGAGTATTAAGCAGCGCGTGCAAGATGCTGAATCCATTATCAAATCGAAGATGGAAGAATCAGAGGTACGTGATAAATTTACTCTTTAACATTTTTAAAGTGTTGTTTCTTTCACAGTATTGCATAAAAACTTAAATAAGCCTCACCGAAAGCATAACAGGCTAAACAGAAAATAGAGTGACGTTTGCATAAATGAAGAGGCCCCCAACGGGATTTCTATCTCCAGATCAGTAGAATGTGTAAGATGCTGCAAGTGCAAGTCGCGTTTTACGCTCCTATTTGCCTAGTTATTGCACTCTCAAGTAATTTGAACTTCTTTTTTAGTGTCTGCATAGAAAAAAAAGTAATAAAAATTTTAACCATTAGGCCTATAAAAAATTGTGCATAGATCAAGTTTATGTAAGTTTGCTGAGAATATTATTTCTCTGTCAACACGTGTATGTAGTATAATCATGGCAATAAGTGAGTCATAACTGCATTTTCAGTCTATATATTTCATGGAAAAACCTTTTTTTTTAATAAAAAAAATGTTATGAGGTCCAATTTCCATTATTTTTTTTCTGAATAATACAGAATAGTTCAAATTTTCTTGTCTCAAAATGCAAAACAAAATGATACACTAATCACTGAGAGTGAGAATAATTCATGAATTTTTCAAGACAAAAATTTCTTACCTCAAATTATGATTTCTTGTAAATTAGAGTCTTGGAATTTTACTTTCACATTTGACATGTTATATCAATGCAATTCTTACACTACAGATAAAATTATTTTGAAATTATGTGAAGAATCTGCAAACAAATTCTACATTTATGTGTTTTAGTTATAAAAATAAGCAACAAAAGACACTGCAATAATATTTTTAAAAAATGGATTTTCAATGAAATATATAGTGGAAAAAAAATATGGCTCACATATGGTCAGGTACTGTGGGTTTTACTTGAATGTAAAAAATAAAAATAATTTTTGAAATCATATTTGATTATATTCGTACTAATTTTATAGTTATCAAATGGATCAAGATCAAGGAGTGTTTCACCAAATTCACCAAGTTCATCAGATGAAGAGATATCCAATGTCAGACGAAGAGGGCGTGGTAGAGGCAGACAGCCTAGAGCTACTGGGGTAGGAGCAAATTATTTAAACTCTTTACCCCCTCTCCCAAAAAAATGTGACAGTTTAAAGCTACTGAGGTAGTAGTGCAGTTCTACTCCTCCCCTACCCCCCCCCCCCCCCAAATAAAACATAAAAAACAAATGAAGTGTTGTTTATGATTTTAGGTCTTGAGAGGTCGAGGACGTGGAAGGTGCAGAGGACGACAGCGCGTGCAGCCAGCTGGCTTGAATAGACTGGAAATGGCAGTTCAGGCTCGACGGGACAGACAATCTCAGCTTGAAGTATATACACATATATATTAATATTTATATATTATAAAATGTCTATATCAATGTCTATATCAATTGAAATATATAAAGTTCTTATTTCAGCCAGCTTATAAATATCAATAAAATTCTTTTAAAACAAGCACTTCAATTTCAGGAATGTATTTCCAATATGGACTTGGCTGCACTACAGGAAACTCTCAAGTTAGTCTGCAAGAAACAGCCTTCATTATTGATGGATGTCCTGAAGACTGCAAATGATAATGGGGATCCAACACCAGGGAATAGCCCTGCGGTTCCAGACTGGTGCTCTTGCAATAACTGTAGGGAGATGCCTACCGAGAGGGAAAAACTGTGCTGTGGAAAAATACCCCAGAACTGTCACACAAAATTAGCTGTAAGTTTTCATTTTTTCAAATTCTGATCAAAATATTATTATACACCAACTAGATATGAAAAAAGGTGAAGATAAACAGTCAGTGTAATGTCTATTATGTATAGGATTTCTATACCATAGTGCTAGATGAATTGGTTCTCGAAGTTGCCATGAGATTTAGGAATGATGCTTTGGCAGAACCTAGAGATGACAACTACAACAGAGCTCATCGACATACAGCTTACAGACAATATGTTATGTGGATGCATGGCCGTCTTGGAGCTGGAAACCGAAAGGTCATTCCCAGCTGCTGCATATGGAAAATTCGAGACCAATATCCTGAACCTTCTGGTCAATATGTGGGATACATAGAAGGAGTCTTAGATTGATAAAGACAACATTTGATTTTCACATATTGCTGTTTTTATATAATAATAAGGTTAATTAAACATTGAATAAATCTTTGAAATACTATGTATCATTTTTCATTCATCAATGTGAAAAGAAAAGAACAAAAAAAGCAAAACATGCAATGTCATATTTAAAAGACTGTATCAAACACCTATTGATGAGTTACTTGGGTGTCAGAGTTAAAGGTATTATTTACAAATTTACAAAATTCTGCAATAACATAAATGTTCAAAGTATCCAAGCAATTCAGAAAATTGCATATCATAAATCTAAAAAGTTTTTTGATTGCAACATTATCCTTGTTATAAGTAGCTTGCATAACTCCAAAGGAGTGGGGGGTATACTGTTTTACCCTTGTGTGTATGCCTGTGTGTTCCGTGTCTCTCCAAAACAATTTTTTTTGCAGTTTTCTCAGTAACTCCTCATCACAGATGCTTGAAATTTTAGCACAATCTTTGTTTAGGCATGCCATATGGTGGGATTCATTTTTATTTGAATCTGATGTCAACTTTCTGTTTATCCGTGCGTCTGTCACTAACAAATTTTTCGTCACAGTTTTCTCAGCAACTACTCATCACAGATGCTTGAAATTTTAGCACAATCTTTGTTTAGGCAAGCCATATGGTAGATTCATTTTTGTTTGAATCCGATGTCAACTTCCTGTTTATCCATGCGTCTGTATGTACCAAATTTCCGTCGCAGTTTTCTCAGCAACTACTCTGTGCAGATGCTTGAAATTTTAGCACAATCTTTGTTTAGGCATGCCATATGGTAGGATTCATTTTTGCATGAATTCGATGTCAACATGAGAGTGTATATTCACATCAGAGTGGGGGTATTACTAGTGAGCATTCGCTCACCGACTTCTTGTTGTTACAGGTAAATGTTCAAAATTGCAATATTAAACAAGATCAGAGACGTGTCTCTTTTCTTGATTCTGACTAATTAAATGCTCTCATGGAGAAATCGAGATTTCTTCTCTGCCACCAGAGATTCAGTTGGCGGTGGAGCAACAGGAGCTAGGGTCTCGGACACACGTCGTGGATCCTCCACATCAAGGACAACTGGCTTGTTCATACCAACAGGGTCAAAAATCCTATTCTGAAGACACAGTTTCATGATGTCAGTTGCATATGGATATTGTTTTTCTTCTCTTACTGGGTAGGCAGACCATCTTCCACTTTTTTTGCTGTAGTACCGCTGATGCCTAAAGTACAAGATTCAATATATTTCAAAATGCATTCCAACCTAGTCAGCAAAATAATTTACAATGGTATATTGTAGATTTTAACTTAAAAAATAAATGAATGAGACAAAAAGAAACCTTAGTGATCCATCTTTTCTTTTGGCAGCTTCTCTGTCACAATTTGCATTGTGGTCCAGTGCAGCAACAAGGTTTCTCGCTCTGTACACTGGAGGTGTGTAAGAATGGCGCTTTGATGAGTACTTCAAAATAAGGTTTTGAAAGTTCTCCAAAGCGGCTGTACTTCTGTAAAAAAAAAAAAAAATCACTAAATAAACTATATACATGGTGAAACCTTCCTGAAAAGTTTTAATCTAACATTTAAGAAATCTGTTATATATATATATCACATTTGTGTTTTCATTTTCTAATGGAAACATTATAATTGGATATGCATAAATAGAAAATATCTGTAGAAAAATGTAGTATACAATCAATTTTGTGTATACCGGCAATTAAGGTAGTAAGGAATCTTCTTTATTAGTCTTTTGTCCCTAACAATTTCACGCACGGCAACATGTGCTGGGGATCCTGCCTCAAGCCAATCTTTGTTCCTTTCCTCTGTTAATGGACCATGCTGGCATGAACTTTTTGCTCCTGCTCTGTATGGCAAAATCCATTCATGCTCATTCACAACATGATGTATGACTCCAAACCAAATGCCCTGAAAAGAAGAACAGTCTAAAATTATTTTTTTTCACTCTCTATTAACACAAACTGAATCAAGTGGTTTTTCTATTTACAGTTCAAACTTACAATAAACTCTTCTTCTGTATTTGCTACAGAGGAACAAAACCAAAAATGGTTTACTATCTCTCTTGTCCACTGTAATATTGGTTTTTTTTATTTTTCTTGTCCAGTCTGAAAATAATGTTCAAAATTCAGTTTACTCATTTAGCATTTTTCCAAATTTTGAAAATGTTCTTAAAATAAAAATCTTAAATTGTCTCACCTTTATTAGTTTTTTCCCAAGGTTTTTTGACCCATGCCAGATGTCGAATGAATGTTTTATTTCTGGGTAATCTTTTTCTGTTATAAAAACATGATGATAGCTACAGTAAATCTAATTTATATATTTATCCCTAAAGAAAAATCAGAAAAAAATCCTAATTACAGATTTAAGCTTTAAAAAAGAAGAAAAAAACAACGACAAAAAAAACAAAGAAGTATACAAAGACACATACTCATTAAAGCTTCAATCTGCACATGTGCATCTGTCACCACTTCCACCACATTTATTTCTTTTTCAAGGAGAAACTGCAGGCCCTTCTGAAAACACGCCTTTTCAAGGATTGCACTTTTTCTTCCTGTCTTTCTCTTGTCCATGGTCACTAAGCACAGTATCTTGTGGGTTTCATTTTCCATAAATGTGTACGTACAGTACTGTGCGGAATGACCTGGACTGTCCATACGACCATCGCCTAAGCAAACAAACAAAAAAAAAAACAAATAATCAAAATAAAAGAAAATTTAAATATATCCTCTTCTTGACAAAACAAACAATACAAGCATTTGGTTGATATTGTACTCACCAAGAACAACAACATCTTTTCCTCTGAATTCTTCTAGAATATCATTCTGATGCTTTTTCCAAATTTCTTCAATTGTTGGAGTGACATAGGTTCTTTGTATCTTTATAAATGATGAGACAGACAGAATGGGGAGCTTCAGGAACTTAAAAAACAGGGAAATCTTTTGAAAATTATTTCCTGACGCCAGTAAAGCTGCTGAGATTAAAACATCCCCACTGTGAACCCGTCTATTAAGAAGAGGTTGCGAACACCATTTGTGTGCCTCATGATTGTTTGTGCAGACCTGGAACAGAAATTTAAAAAGTGCCTTTGTATTTCAAAAAGAAAGGTGAATGATGCCTTGTCACAATATGTATTATATATGATTCTTTTAAAATTATACTGAAGTTCATTACCCATCTCAGGTACACAGCTGAAGACACTACTTCTGATGAAATGTGAACTTGAGCTTCACATCCTTTCACCCTACAAATCTTAGGGACTCCTGTTTCTGCCAAGGTAATCAGCTGATTAATGTAAACCATGGCTGGACAATCATGGACCAGTTGTTCAATTTCATCATTGTTGCGTATAACTGGTAGACAACTATACTCAGCATGTTCTACAAATTTTTCTTCATCGTCCTCAATCTCTTCTGAATCCGACTCATCTAGCGTCACACCATGGTCAAGTCTATAGAGAGAATAAAAAAACATAACAAAATTATAAAATTTATGTTATTACAGTTTAATGAACCAATTACCAATAATTTTTCCCATTAGTATGTTTCATGCTATCTGAAATATTTACAATGATTAAACATATTTAACCTCTTTTAATTTAATTTTATATTACTAAGTAAATAATAATTCTAATAAAAATTACTTTAAAGACAGGTGGAAACTTGGCTCATATTCTTCATCATCAGAAGAGTCATTTTCTTCGCATGTCAGTTCAGAGGCACTCATTGTCAATCTAATAAAAATGCATATATCAAAATCATTCATGCTAAAATAATACATGACGTATTTAGGCCATCACTAATAATAATAATATATTTTTTTATGTACTCCGACTTACATTTTTCAAGGTGGGAATGTAGGTAGGTGTTTTGTTTGTTTGTTTGTTTGTTTGTTTTTTTTTTGCAGTATCTATAGCTAACATCAATTACTGTCATAAAAAGCATAAACTTAAGATTTATTGATGCTTTCATGATACACCGGATAAGACAGATTTAATATTTATTGCTATAAAAATGTTATTTCAAACAAGAGGCACTGGGGCCACATCGCTCACCTGAGCACTCTGGCTAGGAAACAGCAGAAATCAATTCAGTCCTGAAAAGTTTAAATATAAAAGTGGTTCGGGGGGGGGGGGGGGATGTACTTCATATGGATGCTTATGAATTAATATGACAAATATGCCCCTGTATTTTCCTGGGGGTCATAATTTGAACAAACTTGAATCTACACTACCTAAGGATGCTTCCATATAATTATGATCAATCATGGTTTTGCTGTTCTTGAGAAGAAGATTTTTAGAGATTTTCCCAATATATTCTTATGTAAAACTTTGACTACCCATTGTTGCCCCACCCTACCCCCGGGGGTCATGATTTGAACAAACTTGAATCTACACTATCTGAGGATGCTTCCATTTAAGTTTCATGTTTTCAAGCACAGTGGTTCTTGAGAAGAAGAATTTTAAATGATGCCATTAATTTTTCACGAATTCATAATTATCTCCCCTTGGAAAAGGGGGTGGACCTTAATTTGAATCCCCTTTACCCAAGGATACTTTGTGGCAAGTTTGGTTGAAATTGGCCCACTGGTTCTTGAGAAGAAGATAAACATGTGAAAAGTTTACGATACCAACGCCAACAACAACAGACAATGGACAAATTTCGATCAGAAAAGCTCAGGTGAGCTAAAAAGTATCTTAGAGAATTATAAACCTTTAAAATGAAACAATGTCTATTTCCCTTGACCCCCCCCCCCCCCAAAAAAAAAAAAAAAAACATTTAAAATTTAAAGTACTGGGGAAAAGATAGGGTAAGGGCAATTTTGACAGGTCAGTCGGAGTACATCAAACAAATTAATTTTTATTGGCCTTAGAAAGAAACATTTTTAATATGTGTGACAAAAGAGCAATGTTGTCAAACCTAAAAGGATCCACAAAACTGTCTGAAAATGGCTTAAAGCTCTTAGTCCTTGGATCTGTAGGTTCTGCAATTTCCTCAATGCCAGACATAGCACTTTCAACACTGAAAATATTATTTAAATTTTCTTTTTAAAAGTAAATTTTCTACATAATAATAATGATAATAATTTCAAAACTCCATTTAGAATGTTTTTGGTAATTATATATGTATTCAAAAATTGACACGAATACTTCTCAAAATTTTGCAAATGTAAAACAAGCTTGGATATTTACTCTACAGTTTTTTCATGAAGATAACCTGTAATGAGCTATAATATTTTTCCAGTAGATATTAAATCTGTGCTAGTTTTCTATACATGTTGTACACATGTTGATCACAACGCAAAATGTTCAATAAGATGTAATTACAATTTCTGGGTGATTATAGTTTATCTACCATTATCTTTGTGCCTCAGTGCATCACACATCCTTTGATATACTGAATTATAATATCTAGGTTACTTAAGAAATGTTTTTGAAAGTTCATGAAGGTATGACATACCTTTCACCAGGGCATATTTCATACAAATAAAATTATATATACCTGCCAGGGTGAAAAGTATCAGTTCATATCCTCCAGACAGACACTGACAAACTGTCTAGGGTATATATTTTCTATGTATTGAGGTATAGTACATTATTCCTCGTCTGTCATAGTTCATGAGAATAGGAGGAATTTTCATTTAATTTAAAAGAAATAACAAAGAGAATTCAAATTTCAGTTGAATAAGATAGACCCAGGCAAAATATATTATTTCTGTATCATAAGGAATTCGTTCATATTCTTTCTTAACGACATCTTCATTACAAGCCTCTAAGATACAGACATTCAGTGTTTCAGTACTTGAACTGGTATCTTACTAGGCATATTCTTTCTCTTAATGATTTCTAATGTATAATGATCCAATATAATTATAAACAATGCATACCGTAATATTTATAATTTGCTTGTGCTCTGTTTTTAACCTACATTTTTTTTTTAATCTTTATGATATAAATTATTCATTCTGGCTGTCTTCCATGTGCTTGAGAGAGAGGGGAAAAAAAAGTGAACTGCTCTGTTGTTAAATTACTTTAAGGCTCACATTGTATAACATGCCTATGTGTAGCTAAAATTTGTTTTCGTCTGTAACTGTTGTGTTATAAATTATTCTTTGGGGCACTTTTTTTTTTCTTAAATTCCCTGTCTGTAAATATTTAATGTACACTATGAGGGGGCGCGTGTTCATGTATTTTTCAGAGGTTTTTTTTTTTTTTTTTTTTTTATTTTCAGGCATAGACCAACATTCAAAATTATTAATTAGCAAGAACAGTGTCTACAGACAAGAACAGATAATGCTAAGAAATAAAAATAAATAAGGTAAACACCTTGTTACGACAAAACCTGATATACACACGTTTCTTAACGCTGTATTGAAAGTATCTTTTCGAAAAATTTGTGTGGCCCTGAAAAGGGCCGTTTTGTTTTTCTGAAGTGCAAGTTTGCAGTTTACTTGCTGCTGGTGTACTTGGTGACAGCCTTGGTTCCCTCAGAGACGGCGTGTTTGGCCAACTCACCGGGCAGAAGGAGACGGACAGCAGTCTGGATCTCTCTGCTGGTGATGGTTGATCGCTTGTTGTAGTGAGCGAGACGGGAGGCCTCGGCAGCGATTCTCTCAAAGATGTCGTTGACGAAAGAGTTCATGATGCTCATGGCCTTGCTGGAAACACCAGTATCTGGGTGAACCTGTTTCAGGACCTTGTAGATGTAAATGGCATAGGATTCCCTCCTCTTCCTGCGCTTTTTCTTGTCCCCAGTTCTCTGGGCCTTGGCCTTAGTGGCTGCTTTCTTAGCTCCTTTAGATCCGACTTTGGGTGGCATGTTTACAGGTTGTATACAAACTGAAAACTATGAGTGTCGATTCGCGCCTCGCTGCTTTTATATCGAACGGACGGATAACGGCCGATCAGTACATTACGAACCCTCGAGAAAACTAGTGTTGTTCGGCGAGCGACAAAGTGTGTAAAATACGATCGTGCCGATTGGCTGCACGGTTCAATCCGCCTGCGTGTTTAAATAGGGTCGCGAAGCCTGAGTTTGAGTTATTCGTTGATTTCATTCCTTGAGCGTCAACTACTCGTAACAGATCAAAGATGTCAGGACGTGGTAAAGGAGGCAAGGTGAAGGGAAAGGCCAAGAGCCGATCATCCCGTGCCGGACTTCAGTTCCCCGTGGGTCGCATCCACCGTCTGCTGAGGAAGGGCAACTACGCCGAGAGAGTGGGAGCCGGTGCCCCCGTGTACCTGGCCGCCGTTCTTGAATACTTGGCCGCCGAAGTCTTGGAGTTGGCAGGCAACGCCGCCCGCGACAACAAGAAGACCAGAATCATCCCCCGTCATCTGCAGCTGGCCATCCGCAACGACGAGGAGTTGAACAAACTGCTGTCCGGTGTCGCATAATTTACGTTCCGGGTAACTTAGCGTTCCGGCCGGAACGCTAAATACCTATAATATTGGTTCCGGGCTATAATAAACGTTCCGGCCCGCGTAAGTTTGGTTCCGGCCATAATAAACGTTCCGGGCATCCAAGCACCCTTTTAAAAACTTTATTTATAATTAATATTTACAAATAATTTGGATTTTTTTCTTTCTCTTAACGGGTTATACGATGCAGCAGGATTTACACGTATATCGATTTAGAAGAAGTCCCAATATACGGTCTTAATACATGTACCAATACTATAATCCATGGAATTATACGTAATTATGTTGTTTCTTTGTAAACAAAAGAACGCGAAGGTGTGAAACTTGTTTACATTGATATACCCCTTCATGTTGTTTTATGACTCCCTTCTATCGATACAATGTGCATTCATGCGAATCGCTGTATGTCACTTCCGCAATTTTAAATGAGTTTTAGGCAAAGGGCACCCCGATCAGCTGGTAATGCAAATACATGTAGATGAATTATATTTACGATTAAAAAAATTACTGGATAATATTTTGATATCTTTATATATATTTTTTCAAACACCCATTGCGTTTTTGTAAAGCCAACTATATAATTAAATCACATTACGTGAATGAACATAATAGGAGATGTGTGGGCGACGGACTTGCAAAGGTGTGAATAAACATTAATTTCAGCGGAAAATTTATAAAGTATTTAATATGAAGAAAAGCAATTTCCTGTAATAATTCAGTAAAAAATTTTGTGGATTTTTTTTTTCTCGGATAAAATTTATTTTTTAAACAGTCAATGTAATGCCAGCAAAATATGACGAACTTTAAAATTTCTAAGATCCCGATTCTAGCAAAGGTTTCAAGGTCACGGCTAAAAACTATTGAATAAAACTCAGCTCATTTTTATTTATACAGGTAAGTGCACTTATCAGCATTTGTAATAATAACTCTGAAGAGGAAATGTAATACAGATACAGATTTGTATTTTACAATCCTGAGAAATTAATAGTATTGTTGAGCCTGCGCAAAATCCTACCCCCCCCCCCCCCCCCCAACAGGGGGCAGAAAACTTAGCCCGACTGGCTAACGGAAGAGGCATAGATATAATTATAATTTACTTAACAATTTGTTGAATGTAAGTATGTATTTTGATTTCCGCTTAAATGTCACATTTTTCACTAAAACGTCCATTTTTCCCCGCTAAAATGTCGAACGCCGAGATTTATATACCATGTATTCAGAACTCAGTTTTCAAAAGGCATATCTGAATGATATATTATATAAATAAACGAAGTTTCAAAACAATAATTATTTGGGAAGAAGAAGAGATTATTCTGTAATTCTGTTGGAACATGTTTTCCGCTATAGAATGCAGTGGAAAATGGAAAATATCCCCCTCCCCCCGTGAAACTAAAATGCGGCGTGTAATTTTCGTTAGTTTAAAACTGCACAGCTCCATTTAAGTTAGACGAATTAGGCTTTCATCTTGTAATCTTGAAAATGAGACAGGACGTCATAATAAAATACTTAAGGAGAGTGGAATGTGTAGAATGTGTTCAAGTGAACATGCGTGGATCTAAAAATAATTCAGGGGGGGGGGATGTTGAAGATGAAATGAGAGTTGTTATAACGTACGAACGAAAACTTTAACTGGGAGGGGGCAGTGGTGAAGTAGAGGATGAATACCATTTTGTTTTAAATTGCCTGCATTTTGAAAAGCTTCTATAAAAATATGTCGAGAAGTATTACTGACAGAAGTCGTCTTTTTTTCAAATTTGTACAATTATTAAGTGCTCACAAGGTCCATGATCTCTGTAATTTTGGGACATATATCCATTATGCCCTTAAGTTGAGAAAAAGTTTTTTTCTTATATGATATGGTAATTCTCCATGATATAATTATATATTACGGTTGAGTCATCTATAAAAACTACCATACAATGCCATTGTGTATTATTTTGCATTGTTTGTTATTGTTGAAATGCGATAAGATATATGTCTAAAGCAATTGATAATAATATATTTTTAAGGCTAAAATTGAAAGATTATGTGTCAAAGACAGGGTTACATACTCACATTAAATACTGGAATTGTTTTAGATTAATAGTTAAAAAAAAGTTCAAACGCTTTAACGTAAACACATTAGGTAAAGTGAGTCGTAATAAAAAACAAAATGCGTTTGTGAAACACTGATGCTCCCGCACGGCAGTCTTTTGTGAAGGGTAAAGTTTCTAAAGTGCAAGTTAAACTCTAAGCTCAAGGTCAAGAGATCAAAAATGTTGTTTTCCAAAAAAGGACCCGTATCAATGAAAATACCTGTGAAATATGAAAGCCCAAGAACCAACCGTTCAAAAGTTATATATGGCCAAGGTTATAGTTTTTAAAAAGTGGGTCAAACTCAAAGGGTCAAAATCAATGATACCCAGGGAAAGGACCCGTCACATGAAATATACATGTGAAATATAAAAGCCTTAGCATCAAATGTCAAAAGTTATGGCCAAGGTTAAATTAAAGGTTTTTTTTTTAATAGTTCAAACTCCAAGGTCAAGGTCAAAATTGTTGGTATCCTAGAGAAAGTCTTGTCATACACAAATACACCTGTGAAATTAAAATTACATATACTCTGGCTATTGTAACCTGGAACGTCTACTATAACCGTTAACTTGGTCCCGGGTTATTTTATCTTTGTTATAAAGTGGGAGAAAATGAACAGGTAACAAATAACTTTGAAATTACTCTTATATAAATATTGCATATAGTTGAATGCACCCCAAGAAAACCATTGTCAATCGAGGCGCAGCCGAGGTTGACAATGGTTTTCGAAAGGTGAAAATTTTAAATGTTAAACGCAACTACATGCAATATTTATTATATTATACTGAATTTTTATACAAATACATGTACACATAACAGTGTTGCATGTTGCTACGCTGGAATGCGTGGCTTCATCATTCAGCGGGTAATCGTGTTTTTTTAACAAAATAATGTTTCTCGACGAATCAGTTTTAACTAATTTACATGAAAGTATAATATCAGAAATTGTAACCCGGAAAATTATTTGTGGTTCCGGGCTACTTCATCTTCGTAATAAAGTGGAAAAGAAACAACCTAGTAGCAAAGATATTTGAAAATACTCTCAGCACTTCCAACCCAGAAAGTTAATTATGACCATAAATTGGTTCCGGGCTACTTAACCTTCGTAATAAAGTGGGGAAGAAACAACCCAGTAACAAAGATATTTGAAAATACTCTCAGCAATTCTAACCCAGAACGTTAATTATGACCATAGTTTTGGTTCCGGGCTACTTTATCTTCCTAATAAAGTGGAAAAGAAACAACCTAGTAACAAAGATAATTGAAATTAGTTTCGGGCTACTTTATCTTTGTAATAAAGTGGAAAAGAAACAACCTAGTAACAAAGATATTTGAAAATACTCTCAGCAATTGTAACCCGGAACGTTAATTATGACCATAATTTTAGTTCCGGGCTACTTTATCTTCGTAATAAAGTGGAAAAGAAACAACCTAGTAACAACGATATTTAAAAATTCTCTCAGTCTAACAAAGATATTTGAAAATACTCTCAGCAATTCTTACCCGGAACGTTAATTATGACCATAATTTTAGTTCCGGGCTACTTTATCTTCCTAATAAAGTGGAAAAGAAACAACCTAGTAACAAAAATATTTGAAAATACATAGCAATTGTAACCCGGAACGTTAATTTTGACCATAATTTTAGTTCCGGGCTACTTTATTTTCCTAATAAAGTGAAAAAGAAACAGCCTAGTAACAAATATGATTGAAAATATATAGCAATTGTAACCCGGAACGTTAATTATGACCATAATTTTAGTTCCGGGCTACTTTATCTTCGTAATAAAGTGGAAAAGGAACGACCTAGTAACAAAGATATTTGAAAATGCTCTCAGCAATTCCAACCCGGAACGTTAATTGTGACCATAATTGAAGTTCCGGGCTACTTTTTCTTTGTAACAAAGTGAAAAATAAACAACCTTGTAACAGAAATATTTGAAAATACTCTCAGCAATTCTTACCCGGAACGTTAATTATGACCATAATTTTAGTTCCGGGCTACTTCATCTTCGTAATAAAGTGGAAAAGAAACAACCTAGTAACAAAGATATTTGAAAATACTCTCAGCAATTCTAACCCAGAACGTTAATTATGACCATAGTTTTGGTTCCGGGCTACTTTATCTTCGTAATAAAGTGGAAAAGAAACAACCTAGTAACAAAGATATTTGAAAATACTCTCAGCAATTGTAACCCGGAACGTTAATTATGACCATAATTTTAGTTCCGGGCTACTTTATCTTCGTAATAAAGTGGAAAAGAAACAACCTAGTAACAAAGATATTTGAAAATACTCTCAGCAATTGTAACCCGGAACGTTAATTATGACCATAATTTTAGTTCCGGGCTACTTTATCTTTGTAATAAAGTGGAAAAGAAACAACCTAGTAACAAAAATATTTGAAAATACATAGCAATTGTAACCCGGAACGTTAATTATGACCATAATTTTAGTTCCGGGCTACTTTATCTTCGTAATAAAGTGGAAAAGAAACAACCTAGTAACAAAGATATTTGAAAATACTCTCAGCAATTGTAACCCGGAACGTTAATTATGATCATAATTTTAGTTCCGGGCTACTTTATCTTCGTAATAAAGTGGAAAAGAAACAACCTAGTAACAAAGATATTTGAAAATACTCTCAGCAATTGTAACCCGGAACGTTAATTATGACCATAATTTTAGTTCCGGGCTACTTTATCTTCCTAGTAAAGTGGAAAAGAAACAACCTAGTAACAAAAATATTTGAAAATACATAGCAATTGTAACCCGGAACGTTAATTATGACCATAACTTTAGTCCCGGGCTACTTTATTTTCCTAATAAAGTGAAAAAGAAACAACCTAGTAACAAATATGATTGAAAATATATAGCAATTGTAACCCGGAACGTTAATTATGACCATAATTTTAGTTCCGGGCTACTTTATCTTTGTAATAAAGTTGAAAATAAACAACCTTGTAACAAAAATATTTGAAAATACATAGCAATTGTAACCCGGAACGTTAATTATGACCATAATTTTAGTTCCGGGCTACTTTATCTTCGTAATAAAGTGG